TGATCTAGATAAAACATGTTTACTAAGGATCCTACACAGGTGATGTTACGTACTTCCTTTTGTATTACATGAGAAGGCACAGAAAATGCCAGCTTGTCCCATGTCTGGGGATGTCAAGACACCTGTTAAGGTGGCGGTCTTTTGCTATGGATATGCTGCCATTCGGTAAACTTGAGGATTCTGGCTTCCATTGATCATCCCTGACTGGGTTGATGATTACTCTGGAGACTTCACAGTGGTGACTTCCTGTTACTCCTCCCGTATTCATTCTTTAATGATATAAGGACGACCCGCCCCTCTACCCCTCTTTTCTCTGTTGTCTACTGCCGTCTTACTGTTTTTGAGGTGCTCAGACTGCCCCTTGCTGGTGGCTTACGTACAGCTTCTTTCTGAGGCCTCGGGAACTTCTGGGCTCTGGCACTTCTTGGCAGGACGGGCTATCTGGGCACATCTTACACTTTTCCTGGCCATTTCTTCAGGGTGCACTGGTGTCTTCTAGTGGAAAACGGTATTTGGAAACACAAATCTGGAAGCTAAGGGTGCTCACTGCTCTCAGCGTCTCTCAGTGGAAAAAACTGGGAAATTGATTTAAAACAGAACTACCACACAAAGCAAACTGACTTTTGAGACATTTCTTAAAAAGATTTGACATCTACACACTATAATAAACTGGGCAAATCCGTCGCTTTTCATATATTTAGCTGAATTCACTTTACCTGACAATTATGCGTTAATTCCGTTTTCTGAACTGGGATCCAAGTAGGAAGATGAGGGCAAGCCAGGGCTGTGGGGCGGCAGAGCAACTCTGTGCATGGCAGGTGGTGAGGAGGAGGCTGGCAAGTCAGAGTGCAGAGAACCAGGGCAGGCATGTCCTGCCCTATGAAGCTGCCAGGCAAAAGCACTGGCTCTCCCAGGTTGGATTCTTCAAGGTATGCTGTGTCTTAGTTACTGCGAAGCTTATAATCACACCCGGGACCGGGTGAACTATGAAAATACAAGTTGGTTTAACTGCTGCAAAGTCCAAGGCCTCAGGCCCACACTGCTGTATCCGATGGGGGCAGAGTAGGTGGGACACGTGCCTAGGGGAAGCTGTGTGTATCCTTTTCTTTTATAGCAAAAATGAATCCGTTCTCACTAGAGCTAGAACTCATGCGGTTCTCTCATGAGACAAGCAGTTCCGTGAGCCATCACCACGATCCCACCACTGCCCACTAAGAGCAAATACTGTAACATGACCCTTGGGGAGACAAAACAATGTCCAAGCTATAATATGCTACAAATCTGGTCTGTGATATAACATATCCCAGTTTTTAAAAATGCCATATGCTCCAAACATATCTGCAGACTAAGCACTACCCGTAAGTTATAATCTACCGTAAAAAGTAAATTCTATAAACAAAAGTGCCTAGTCTCTAGTGAGGTACATTTGAATATTAGACTGCCTTGAAATCTTAATCATCTGTTCCCTCACAGAAGCTTTTGTGTCTACTAAATGAAAAACTCTGTATTATGCACATTACATCCTAGGATTCCTTTGCCTAGAACATTATTTTTCTTTTAATTTTTTTTTAATTGCCAGAGTATATGTGTGCTCACTAAGAGAGAGAGAGAAAGAGAGAAAGAGAAAGCACCCCTAATGGGATGTGGTCATGTCACAATCCTTTAACCTCCATTTCTCCATCCCATCAGGGCTGGGACTTGAAGCATGGATGGTTGCTGTGGAACCTATCTCTCTATGGACAATAGTTAACCACTGCACTACAGGTTTGGCCCAGTGGCCTGGAACATTCTTGTACTAGGTATTTGCACACTCACTCACAGCTTCTTGGTCACCCAACAGTGAGGGCTCCCCAGATGCCAGCTGTATCCTCTGTTGAGTGAGTGACTGTCCGCCCGGACAGTCCTCCTTGCTGTTGCTACAACTACATGAGAACATCATGCAATCCACTCCATCTCTCTTAGAAGGCAAGGGGCAGTGGCTACTGGCTAACAAACACAGTAACACGAATCACTTGACTTCTGTGTGTGCCCTACTGTCTACCTCTCCACATGCGGCTCCTACAGCTCCCACCTCATCCACCCCACATTAATTTGCATGAGATGATTCATAAGGTCCTTTTCTGTGCTATACCAGGAGATGATCTGGAGGGAATCTTAGAATCACATGTGAGCTTGGCTTAGAAATTTATTTTTATTTTGGGACCAGCAGATGGTGTAATGGTTATGTAGCTCAACTCCCATATAGTTGACTACGGTTTGAGTCCTGGACCTGGAGGTTTCAAACTCACACCAGGCACATGTGCATGCATGCCCAAGATCCCGTGAGAATGGAGAATGGATTGTGGTGTGGCCATCTCCCATTGGGGATGGTTTCTCACTTTCTGTCTTGCTTTCTCTCTGGTGAGCACATGCACCCTTTAGCAAAAAAAAACCCCAAAACCAACCCCCCCCAAAAACCCCATAAAAACCAAAAACTGAAACAAAAACCTCTCTTAAATTAAAAAAAATATATATTTATTTTCACAATGGTTGGATTATAGAGGGACAAAAATAAAAACAAATTTGCACTGAAGTTCATTTTGTGACAATCTACATTTCTGTTTATAAACTCTCAGCACCGAGACTATTACTTGCTCAGTTTTGTAACTTATCTTGTTTGCATCATAATAACTGCAATTTTTTTCAGGACTCTCAAAGGTATGATTACAATGGTAGTTCTTCAACGTTCTGAAAAAAGCCCAACCAGGTAACAATCAAACAATAAAAGTAACAAACAACTAATAGACATGCAGAAAAGAATTTGGTCCTATGCACAGTATCCCCATAGAAACCAAACCAGAAGACGTTCTCCTCATAGTACATGTCAGGGAAGAGGGAGGTGTGCTGCCGTGTTTGGCAATAACAACCTGGAGGAGGGTACAGGAATGTCCAGTTTTTATCCCAGGTGGCATGTTCATGCCTGTTGTACCCTCTCTGGCAGATGTGAGGTGACACCACAGCCTCAAGACTCTGAGGGCTGGGCCTGGGCCCATCCTCTACCACGTTATCTGCAGAATAGCGTGAAGAAGTCAGAGACACCACTCCCACCTACATTTTTATTCCAAAGCCTATTTCTTTCTGCAAGTCCTCTGACCAAAGTCCAAAGCAAGATGTCCCAGGAAGACTAGCTTAAAGCTCACAGTGGAGAGAGGATAAAAGTAGCTGCAACATGCCTATAGAAACACAGTGGTATAGGAACTGCCTCCCACCCATCTACACAGAGGGGGCAACATTGCATCCAGAAGGCCATGCAGACTTTGTGACTAAGGTCAAGGGGCTCCAGACAGCAAAAATAGATACCAAGCCTTGGCAAACTTCATTATGCAAGAGAGGTCAAAATGCTACAATCTGTAAATAGTGTAATTCCACCTAACAAAACACTGCATGTAATCCCCAAATGATAAACGATGCTCATAATAGCTCTCCAGAAGGCAATGATCCCAGCTGGATATGTAAATAATTTGTAACATATTCACACACTAGAATCTCATACAGTAATGAGAAGGAACTATTGCTCACCATAGTGACAAGGATGGATCTCAAAAAACACAGTGCTGAATGAAAAAAGGTTAGACATAAAGGAGAACAAACAGGATGAGTCCATTTATTTAATCTATAAGGTTCAGGAAATAACCAAGGGTATTAAAGTCATAATCCATAAGGAAGCTGAAGAGAGATCCAAAGTCTTGGGATCTCCTGATCAGAAATCAGTCTGTGAAAATTAACTGAGCTCTACCATTAGGATGTATTTTCTGTGTAATACACAATTCAACAAGAAGTTAAAAAAACAAAACATTGTGCAGGACAAACTGAACATCACCCACAGGCTTCCTGTTTACAACTGTGCTCTGAAGGAATTCAGGCGAGCTGGGTGCTCTGGACACAAAGATTAAAAAAACACAACTCATACTTTCAGGAAGTGCTCCATGCATCAAGTTAACAGACACATTCAAACTACAATGTAATTACAAAAATGAGAAATGAGCATTCTAACCCAAACAGGAGGGCTGGGGCTGCTGGGGTGGGACCTGTGCATGGCTGAGGGCTGTCTGTGACCTTTGGACTAGAGGCCCAAGGAGGTTGAGCCTATGGTGGTAGCCCTGCCTGTGTGACACACAGCCATCCTCTCTCTCGAAGGCTGGACTCCTCACTTCAAAGCATTTGTGCTGCTTCTCTGGAGATGGGGAATAAAGCTACTTTGTGCCAGGACAGAATGGGTTTTGCTGACTCACAGTCCAGCCTTATGCACGGCAATCAGAAGGACCTAGAGGGGTCACCTAAACCAGGGAGCGTCGTCATAGTTAGGAGATATCCTCTACAGAAGGATTATGTCTTCTTTGATATGGGAACTGGGCAATCTCGAGGGGTGAGTGGAAAAGGGGAAGTATGTGATGATCTTCTTTTTAGAGAATGTCATCTTCCTTGTTCTCAGTAGCCATAAATGCCCACTAGGCCATAGCTGATACTCTCTTGAAAAGACAAAGTCGTGTGGATCCCAAGAGGGTGTTGCCTGGACACACGTGTGTCTGTACCATGCCATTTGTGCTGGGGCCGGGCAGTAGCTGCTGGAGCCTTATCTGCATCTCCCCATGTGCCCATGGCAGGGCTAAGCCCTTTGTGTAAAAACCTGAGAACTGCTCTCTGCTGGAGCTCTGTCATAGAAGAAAACAAAAGCCTGGCTCCCACTCAGGCCAATCTGAGTGGGGTTGTAGTCCACCACACCGCATTCTTTACTCTAACTGATAAATACATTCGTCTACCCTGGTCGGTAACTTTTGAAACTGTAATTTATGAGCATCCAATCACTGAAAAGTTTCATAAAGTAGTTTTCAAATCAGGCATTTCTTAAATGACTCTGACTGCACTTTCAATGGCCAGTTGCCATGTATTATTAAACTCTCTCTTTTTTTTCTTCAGAATCTTCCAGTAGACGTCTAGAGTTTAGCTAGAAGTCTTGGCGACGATACAAACAGTGATGGAAAACATATGAGCAGTAACAAGTTTGAATCTTGCTCCTCAGCACTAACATGGACTAATCTGTGGGGGCAGTTTACTCCTGCATCACACAGGGCACAGCTACACCAGGGGCTGTGCTGGGGGTGTCTTTTCTTTTTCAGTCTAACATCTTATCCTTTCTTCTTAAATAGTGCTTGAGAACTTTTACTTTATAGATAAGCCATACATAGTGGATACACTCTATTCTCAAGAGGACTGCTCTCTTCTGACAAGGTATGTTCCCCTGCTTGTTCTGCATGCCCGGTGTATGGATACTTGGTCAGCACCACGGAGACATCGATGTTACTAACAACTGCTCATAAACAATACGACAGTGTTTAAAGCTCATCTCCTTAATTTCTTAAAAATCACCATTTAAATACAAACCTAAATTTGTACCTAAAGTTATAGTTTTATGTATTTTATATAATGAGATTCTTTTAAATATAATTATGTGTTTTTTTTTTACAGTTAAGTGAAAACCTGTCATTAAGCTTTACCATAAACATTAATAAGACTAATTTCAAAATTACTTAAATAAACATCTTATATCTTATTTTAGGAAAAATAACATTACTTTAGTAAATTAATGATGCTAATGTTTGAGGATATCACAGATAAATTAGGCAGTAAAAATTTACTTCTAAATGTAAAACTGTATTTTCTGTGTTTTTAAATGTCTGAGTTATTAAAATGTCATTTTTACTTACAAATTGGAATTTCCACATTTTTCCTTGGTAAATATCTTCCGTATTCTTAAGTAACGAAATGGCACTGAATAGTTAAAATTGAAATCTATGTAACTCCAAGAAAGAGTACTTATCAGCAATAGCTTAACCAGCTCTGTACTGACATGAAATATTAGGGACCGCTTTTCATAAAATCCCTCCAGTCTGAGTTTAACACAGGCAAGATTTCCTTTGTCCACTCCCAAGGGAAATTTTTTATTAAATCTTGGATTAAGAAAATTAAACAATGTATCTGATATTCCACACCCTTGTAATCTACATGGAGCACAGCATTCTTTCATGTTAATCTGTTCAGAGGTGTGGCAGCCAGGGAACACGGCCACATGGTGTAGGGCTGAGTCATGAAGAACCTGAGGGGTTTATATGTCTCTAAAAATAAGGTTGTTGTTTTTAAATATTACCAAGAATCACTGGGTTGTTAAAAAAAAAAAAGGAAAGACAGAAAAATAAATCATAAGCCCACACACATGTGAAGCATCTTACTGTTTCTAGTTTGTTCTGGCAGCAGGCAGTACAGGGCAGTAGTGGAAAGAAGGGAGGAAAGGCAGGCAGTCTTGTGCTACAGCTAGTGCAGTAAAACATATACTCCCGGGTCTGAGCTCTGGCCTGAAATGAACAGATTCACTTTATGACTTTACAGGCACAAGCCTTAAGGCACTGCAGGAACATAGAGAGGTAGAAATTTATTTATTTATTTTTTAAGACTGCAGCTAGGTCACTAGACATATTGAGAAACTGATGAGAAAACTGGTATAAAAGGGAAAGCAGTCAGAAATTCTTTAATGAGAATGCGATTTGTACTATTTGTGCTTCTAAGGGAAAAAATAATTTTATCTTCGAGAGAAGTGTTCTTAAAACTCTCCATATCCATGAACAGACAGCCCTGTGAGGCGGGCGGGGCCTTCCCACTTGTTAGCGTCTGACTGGCAGCTGCGCTGAGCCTCGCTAGCACCTGCACTGAGCTTAGATCCCTTCCAGAGGTAGGAGCAGATGGCACATCACGCTTACTTACTGGAAGTGACTGCTGGTGCCTTTGCACTGAAGCACTGTTTAAGCCAAGGGGAAAAGCTGCCAAGGAGACTTTAAATATGGGGATTTAAAAGTACAGTGACTTATTATCTAATAATAGTGACTGGGAGGAAATACCATTTCACTTAGATATATTTTCCATTCTGTTTGTGAATCAGTTAAGTGGGAAAAGGGAAGTGTGTACACTTCTCAGCTATTTCCAGTCTTGCTATGGTCCCTTTGGAGAACCTGGTCAAACCCCACCTTGTCCGTGGTGAAAGAAAGTCTGTTTGCTGTCTGGAGGTAACTATGAGGTTAAAACCACTGGAGGAAGGCCGTGCAGCAGGGTGGAAAGCCTGTGGGAGAGACTGGCCCTCTTTACCGCCCCAGTGGCTCTGGACATCTCATATTCAGTTTCTTTCTCTGGGAAAAGAAACCCTAAAGGCGTCTCCAGCTCTAACTTGTGATGACTTATCTGTAACAGCTTCAGTGTTGCAGCAATAATTCCCAGTAGTATTCTCATTTTGAGAAACTTACCACTAAAACCCAAGGCTTTAGTGGAAACATGCCAAGACTGGTCTAAGTCAGGGAAATACTGATTCTTCCTAAGAATATATTTTTAAAAGTTTTAAAAATAGCTCAATGTAAATGTTGCCAAAACTAATAAAATAAAGCTTAAACTATGGTGTGGTGGCTAAGGTGCTAGACTCACTCATGGAGCTGGTAGCTTAAGGATCACACCAGGCACATGTGCATTCATGCCCAAAATCTCAGGAGGAGAACAGAGAAGGGACCGCAGTGGGTGATTTCTCACTTTCTCTCGCACCCCTTTGGGGCATGGTCACCCTCCTTCCCTCCCTCCCTCCCTCTCTCTCTCTTTCTCCCTCTCTCTCTCTTTCTCCCTCTCTCTCTCTGTTTCTCTCTGACAAACACATGTGTCCTATGGCAAAAACCTAAAAAGAAAAAAATCCTTATATTAGTAAGCTCAATTTTAAAATAAAATGAACTAGGGACCAGAAGATGACCTAATGGTTACATCACTGGACTTACATGTAGCTGACCACGGTTTGAGTCCCAGACCCAGTTTTAAGACCTAGGCTTAAAACTCACACTGGAAAAAAAACCAAAAACAAAAACAAAAAATAAAAACAAAAAACCCTCACACTGGACAGTGTGCGTGCATGCCCAAAATCCCGAGGAGAATAAAGGAAAGGGGTCTGCGGCATGGCCATCTCCCCTAGGGGTTGATTTCTTGCTTTCTGTCTCTCTGTCTTTCTGGTGAGCACATGTACCCTATAGTAAAAATCTCTCTCTAAAAAAAAAAAGTAAAATAAAATGAACTAAAGGTCACATCATTTCAAATAAATACTACTCTATCTTTTTTCTGAATAATAGAAAAACAAACAAACAAACAAACAAACCCACTGCTATGCAGAGTTCCCTTCCAGACATTGCCGTATTTGCCTACTGGTCAACGATCACACAGCCAAAACAGGGAGAGGTGTGGGCCCTCAAGTCCCTTGTACTTCCCAAGCTGTGGGAGAAGCTCAGCAACATTAGATGAGTTTCAATGGTGAATTCCGGTTGGCATGACATTTGTAAGCAACCAGGATAAAAACATGCAAAAACACAAGAGTAATCTTATATGGCTAACAGAAGACAGAAATAGCACAGGGAACTCATCAGAAAGCACTTTTGGTCTCGGCTGAAAGACTTCTTATAGCCCTGGGTGGGTAACAGTGAACGATGACTTGAGTCCTATTGCTGACCCTACTCAAGCACAAGGGGTCAGCTCCCTAGGCCAGAATGTTCTGGAACCTGCATCACTGGATGAGTCTCTGTTTCCACAGGGCTCCATGTCTCTCACATCAGGGAGCAGCCCCTACTGCAGACTGGTGGTGCTTCCACCCATTGGCAACTGGAAACTTTCCCAACTACTGCAGCTACCGTGACTGCCTGCTGCAACTAGCAGCAGAAGTCTCCATTCCATATTTTCACTTTACTTTAATTTTAATTATAGGCAGGGAGGGGTTCATGGAATTTATCAGTCTATGAAAGGAGAGAAGGAAAGGGAGGGAGTCTGGTGGATGTCTCTCTTGGCACTATGGGAAGCGAGCCTGTCATCAGTTTGTCCCTCCTGCTTTTCTGCCTTGTGCACCTTCTTGGTATCCTCTTAGCTCCCAAATCTGCCTCCTCCTCTGCTCATGTTCCACACCGCAAACCTCCACCCAGCACTGGGGAGCCTCTCAGAGCTGAGGTCCTTGAGACAGACTGACTTTGGCATGAAGCTGAAAGACTCAGGAAAACCAGCACATGGTATGCAAGGAGTGCAGGCAGTCCCCACTCCTGCTGCCAGGCCACAAGGAAAACCCAGATGTGTTCTTGGATCTCCCGCACAGCTCTTCTGTTATACATTTCAACAAGTCACATAGCAGTTTTTTTTTTAGTTCTATATTTCAGTACATTATGTGATCAACAGATTTTTTTGGTGGACTGGGAACCCAAAGCTCATATTGTTCAGAGTTTCCATTAGGAAACACTAAAACAACAAATCAATTTAAGAAATAATTCCACTAAAATTTTTACCTCCTATAAACCAGAGCAGAGGGGGTTAGATGTCAAGAAACTATGAACATCCAAATAATTTCCTAGGTGGGTGTGTTCATTGACAGCATATGTATGGGATCCTTTAATCGGACGGGCTGGGATGTCGGTCCCGTGTGGCAGAAGAGGTAGAGACAAAGGCAAGCTGAAGACTGAAGCAGAGAGCACTGTGTTGGCAGACCGAGAGGTGTCCCATTCACTGTCCTCTGTAGTAGGTTTATAAACTGCTTCAACCTTTCCTTCAAATGCAGAAGGTTTTAATAGATGCCTAGCCCTGCTGGTTTTCAATAGTGAAATGGCAGTTACAAGGAACAGACAGACACGTAGTGGAGAATCGGACCATGCACCCAAGCCTCAGCCACAGTGTATGCAGTCAACATGGCCTATCTGCTGTTCTATTTACTAATTTAGACACTTTTTAGCTTTTCTATCAATGCAACTGACATTCAAGTGTTGACTTTAACAATAGCTCATCGTTGGACTAGCAGTTGGTGTAATGGCTATGTCGCTGTACTCCCACGTGGTCGACTATGGTTCGAGTCCTAGACCCGGTGGCTTAAACTCACACCAGGCGTGTATGTGTGTGTGTGCCCAAGATCCCGAGAGAATAGAGGAGAAGAGATCGTGGCGTGGCAATACCCCCGGGGGGGAGATTTCTTGCTTTCTGCATCTCTGTCTTTCTGGTGAGCGCATGTGCCCTATAGGAAAAACCTCTCAAAAAAAAAAAAAAAAAGAAAAAAAAAAAAACATGCTGGCTGGGGCAGCAGTTGATTAGAAGCTGTGGTTTCTTTAGTAACAAAGTGTAGGAGCGAAAAGGACAGGGAGGGCGGCGTGTTCTGCTCTGGCCATCAGCATCCTGACCCTGCCTGGAGCACAGTGGATGACAAATACCCACTGAGTAACTCCACCTACCTCAGAGTCAGAGAAGAGGACCTCAAAGGATACTGCTATTTGACAGCATATTGTTGACAAGGTCAGATAAGGTCAAGAGCAGCTATGCCCCTAGAAGATCAAGCTGTAGTGTTAGAACATTAAAGAATAAACTGGAGGGCCAGCTACTGACATGGATGTTAAGGTAGCTGGAGCCGACATGCTCGACTGCCCATGTCCTGGAAGGGGGAAAGAGGTGAGGGTCCTCTCTCTCTTTCTCTGTCTCTCTCTAGTGAGTGCACATACCCTATAGCAAATTTAAAAAATAAAACAAAACTGGAATTGGGGACAGGCTTTGCTTTAGCTATAGACAAAGAGCTGAATTTCCTGGGGAAGGAGGGTTTTGGAGGTTGAGGTGAAGCTGGGAACAGAGCATTCAGAAGCCAGGGACCACAAGCCTGAAGTCAGACAGCTAAGTCAAAGCCAGGCAGGGAGCCCAGCAGCCACACGACGTACTGGGGCAATGTGATGCTGAGACAAGCCGGGTGCCCTTCACTAGGACCGCACGCCAAGATTTCCAGGACTGCTGAAAAACGGAGCGCCACCTTGCTCATGGTGGGCTACCCACAGCCACAGCTGCTCACAGCTAGTTCTCATCCAGGGCTGTCCAAAAAGAGTCGCTGAAGGCTGCATGGCTGGTGCAGTCCCTCGCCCAGCAATGCACGAAGTGCACCATGCGGCTGTTCTCCTCTGCCCGCCCGCTCCCAGTACGCAGGTGCCCTTTCTGCACAAACGCACACAGGCCAGCTGCTGTGGCTAAGAGGTGACGGGTTGCCTGTGGAGTCACTGGGCTTCTGGAGGACAGAACTGTCTTCTCATGCCAGTTACAGCCCTGAGAGTAGAAGGGGCAGCCAGGACACAAGGCCCTGGCTCCACTCCACCTCCTCTGGGTAAGTGGCCTGAGGCAGTTACTTCAGCACTCTGTGCCCCATTTCCTGCTCTTTAACAGGAGGGGTAAGTTCAGAGCAAGTTCTGAATTCACACATTTGTAAAGTAGTGCAAATAAAGCCTGCTTGTAAAATGGGATTCAGAATAGGCCCGATAAAATAAAGAATCTTTTGCTGGTCCCGATACGCCTGTGAACTCTTTTCTGGCACATTCAGTGTCCCAGGGAGAACACACAGACCTGGCGGTGCCATCTGGCTTTCCGTGAACCCATGCTCTTTGCATCATTTAGGTTTTTTGTTTTGCACATACAAAGAATTAAATAATGTAACCATCAGGTTGATAATGATGATAGGGCTTTCTCTTTTCTTTTCAGGGGGTAGGGAGGGTTACAGGAACCGTCGTGTCCGGCTCCTCTGTCACTCTCACTGTGTTGTCAGGCCAGTCTTAAGCTCATGGCTCAGCAGCCTCAGCTTCCAGAGCTGCTGGGATGACAGGTGCTGGAAACTGGACCTGAGCCCCCCGTGTCGTTCTAGCCTTTCAAGCCTAGAGTTTTAGTTGTTCATACCACTATGGCTGGGCAGGGCAGAGTATTTTTTCTTAAATATTTAATTTAATTTAATCATAATAAATAAATGGATACATAATAAATACATTTTAAAAATTTGACCAGAGAGAGACATGAGAGAGAGAGACGGAGAGAGGGAAAGTAAGAAAGCATGCCATCAAGTCCAGGACTCGAACCGTGGGCAGCTATGTGGGAGTGTTCAGAGCCTTAACCACCATGCCATCTGCTGATGTCCAGATTTTCTAAACTGCCTCTGCTTAAAAATGACATACCATAGATAAAAATTATAATTAACAAATTCATTTCTGATTCCTAAGTCCAGGAAAAGGTAACCCTGTGAAGAGATGTTAAAGCTGATTTCTGGGTTCTGAAAAACTGTAGCCAGAGGGAAAGATGACAGAATTTGGGGATAGGTCTTCCTGAGGCTGGCCAATCTAACTCCGGAGGCCTTCTGCATCTCAGTCACTGTCTAGCCTTGGGCATAGCAGGCCCAGGCACTGGTAGGTGACAGTGGCCAAGGGGCATCCTGTGGAGTACTTTGCTGTGGTGGTGACTGGTTGCCCTCCTGCCAGGACTTGATCTCACCAACCAGCATCTTTGGAATTGCTCTGTTCTGGACTGTTTCATAATATTTCTAACTTGTGAAACCTCTTCAGAACGCAGTTCACCTTAAGAAACTGACGTGTAAATGCACATGTGGAAGTCTTAGCCATCAGACAGCAACACAGAATCTATGCTCTGAAGGTTCCAATTACATTTTGCAGCTTTGTGCAAGCTTTAGAGAATATAACCAAAAATAACCCAGCCTCCACCTAAAACAATCAAGCAAACAACAGAACTCAGTGAACAGATGAGTAAGAAAGAAGAGTGTGGACATCAGATGTTTGGATCAGGTGTTAGACAGTGGGACAGATTAGAAGGAAAGGATCCTGATACATTGCGGAAAAAGAAACCAATGACAAGAACAAGGCTGGGGGCAGAGGAGGGAGAGAAACCAGCCACGGAAAACTTCCCAGGTAGTAGAGGGGATGCCGAGGACGTTCATTTGAAGTAAATAAAGCTGTTTCTTTTTTTTTTTCCTCTTTGATCTTTATAATGGACAACACGTATGAATTTCATCATCAGAAAACAAATCAGTGTTTTAAGAAACAAAACCAGATTACCATACCTAATTTAGAATTATTTCCTGAGTCTAGATTCCAAACAGTCATATGGGATGAAAACTCTCATGTATACTGCCAAACCGCTTTCCAAAAAGTTCTCATGAATCCGCTCTCACACTGGCTAGCAATGGATAAGATGCCATCGCCCTGTACTCGGGCCAGCACTGAGCAAGGGAAGGGTGTTTAAACCATAGCCTGATGCTCAATGTCTGCTCAGTCCTAGGCCTGCCCTCTGTGTGAGACAGCATGAAGGAGTATGTGCTCCTCCTGTTGGTGGCCTTGTGCTCTGCCAAACCCTTGCTTAGCCCTTCACACTTGGCGGTGAAGAGCATGATGCTGAGGGATATGGAAGACACAGACGACGACAACGATGATGACGACGAAGACGACAATTCTCTCTTTCCAACCAGAGAGCCAAGGAATCCCTTCTTCCCATTCGACCTTTTTCCAACATGCCCGTTTGGATGTCAGTGCTACTCAAGAGTTGTGCATTGTTCTGATCTAGGTAAGAATGTACATCAACTTTGTGCTGAAGAATAACATTCTGACAAAATCAGAAAGATGGGAAAGTCCTTAGTGAAATGTTAAAAATACTCTATGATGGTGGGACCAGCAGTTAGCATAATGGCTATGTCACTGGATTCCCATGTAGTCGACTGTGGTTCGAGTCCCAGACCCAGAGGCTTAAACTCACGCAGGGTGTGTGTGCGTGCGTGCCCAAGATCCCGAGAGGAAAATGGAGGAAAAGGGATTGTGGCATGGCCATCCCCCCCAGGGGGTGATTTCTCGCTTTCTATCTCTCTGTCTCTCTGTCTTTCTGGCGAGTGCATGTGCCCTATAGCAAAAACCCCTCAAAAACCCAAAACACTCCATGACTATAAAAATAAATAAATAAATAAATAATTTAACTTTTTAAAAAAGTAAAATAAACTCCAAATTACATCCAAATTATTTATTTCACTGTAGGGTGTGTGCTCTTGCCAGAGAGAGAGAGAGAGAGACGCAGAGGGAAGGAAAGTGAGAAATCATCCAGGGGAATGGCCACAACTCCCTCCTAACTCCAGTCTCCTCTTGAGATTTTGGGCATGCACATACATGTGCCCAGCATGTTTTTCAAGTTACCAGGTCCAAGCTTCGAACTGTGGAGGTGGCCATGTGAGATCCAGTGCCTTAACTTCCACGCCACCTGTCAGCTCCCACTAAGATTTATTTTTAAAATATAGAAAATCAGAGGAAAGTGAAGGGAATTTTACAAATAAAGGATTCCCTTCTCTTCCTGAATTAAAGCAATTCATTTTAATTTCCTTCAGAGAAAATGGACATCACTACAGTTTCATATCACAGAAGTCAAGATAAAATTTTATCAGTAAAATTTTATGATAAAATAAGTTATCTGCCCAAAATAAGGAAATGAGTGAATTACAGAGTTTAGGAAACCACCAATCTAATTATTTTAAAGATAATACCTTATTGTTTTGAATGATTTGGATTTAGAACTCCCTAAAGTGACCAAACTAAAAAGTCTCTTTAAAAGGTGAGTTATTTATTTATGAGTTTTTAATTTATTTATGAGTTATTTATTATGAGTTATTTATTTATTTCTTTATTTTTATTTACATTTTAAAAATACATTCAATCACATTATTTAGCTTACAAGGTGATCATTTCAATATGTGAACATTTCTCCCCATCAAGTTGATCAAAATATAACACTACCTCCCTGTCTCAACAATGCTGTCTTCGTATCCCTACTCCAAATGTTCTTCCCCAGGCCCCACTCCTCCATACACAACACATCTGGCATTCACATCCACCTCTTCTGTTTGTACATCCTTTACCCTGTCCGTTTCAGTTATAGAGTGTGGACATTCAGTATATTAAGTGGGGACATAAAGTGTCTCTCCTTCATAGCCTGGCTTGCTTCACTCAGCAGTAAATCTTCCATATTCCTCCACTTTCTGTCAAAAGCTAGGATTTTGTTGTTCTTAATGGCTGAATAGTATTCCATAGAGTATATGTGCCACCATTTTTCAATCCATTCAGCCGTACGGGGGCATTTGGGTTGATTCCATGTCTTAGCAATCGTGAAAAGTGCCACAATAAACATCGATGTGCAAGCACTTTTCCAACGAGGAAGTCTTCTGTCCTTTGGGTAGATGCCAAGAAATGGGATTGCTGGATCATATGGTAGTTCTATTTGTAGATTTTTGAGGAATCTCCAAATTGTTCTCCACAGTGCTTGGACTAATTTACATTCCCACCAGCAGTGTAAGAGAGTTCCTCTTTCACCACACCCCACCAACACTTACCATTTTTTGTTTTTTTTTTTTTAATCTTAGCCATTCTGAGTTGCTTTTTTTTTTTTTTTAATGCTCTGATCAAGGTGCATTTGAGAGCACACTCAGTCCCCCCTCGGGGAAGGGATGTCTGCAAATGCATGGCATTTCCAGAGGGACAACTGAGACCCGCACTCCAGAAGGCAAGGCCTGGCACACAACTGCCATGCAATCACTTCAGGAGTCTGTGGAGTCTCTGACAGCTTTAGACTTATTTCTTAATGCCACGGCAATCATGGCAAGAGCCAAAGCTTACTATGTCCCACTCCAGTGGGTTTAATAAAGTTTATCAGTATGTGACAAAATGACAGTGTGACACTCAAAGCAGGGGGACTGTCATGAGTCAGGGCTGTGGGAAACTGAAACAGTAGGATGAAGAAAAGGCTGTAAGCTGTACTCTTGGCATTCATGTGAATGAGGGAGCAGGATGCTCCTGATATTTGAGAACCTAGTGTGGAAGCACAGGAGCAAGAGCTGTAGAGCACAGCAGGTATGAGAGATACGCATGCGAAGATGGATCCCTTGTGTGAGAAGAGGTGAGGGAGGGAGTGACAGATACGGCATTATGACTAAGCTGTCTGCCAGACGAGAAAAAACATGCCCGTCAGTCTGCAGAGCCAGGGAATGTTCATGTACATTGTAAATCAATGTAAATCAATGGCAGGGTGAATGTGACTCCGCAAACTGGGCTGGTCTGGGTCGGATGGTGAATAGGGAGATGCGTACCCTTAGTGTAGACATCCTATAAGCTGGCCTCCACACCCAACACCACAACAGCCACCTGCTTCTCAGGTGAGACCCTGGAGGACACATCAGACAGAATGGTTTCGCACACACCTGTCCTCAAACATGGAGACAGTCAAGCTACCCCATGGAGAGAGCAGGCGTCTTCTGAACATCCAGCTCCGAATAAACTCTAGTAAACAAGGCCCACCTCAGGACCCCTGTGACAGTTGGCCATGCTGCTGGCAGCACAAGCACCTCCTCTCTTCCACCTGCCAATCCTCCTCCCCTAGTAACGCTTTTCTGAGCTTTAATCTCCTCAGGGCAGAGTGGGAGGAGGCCTGTCAAAAATCTACATGGTTAGGATGTTCCTGTCAGCAGAATCTTGTTTCCTGCACAATTTTGATTGTGTTTTCTAAAGTCACATGGCAAAATTCATCTGTTTTCACAAGCAAAACTGCACCTCTGTGTTTCTAACTAATTGAGTTACCACCTCTCCATCTTTTCTTCTTTGTATCTATTGTTAAATTTCTTAAGAGTTGTCCATTTAAAAGTATGGAGGGCTACATAGGAGAACGCTGATATTCAATGTATTTAGATTCAGTTCTTCAACCTGGGAAATGAAACATTGTTAAGCATACTACAACTCTTCAAGAATAAGGACTGTTATATCAAGAATCTTCATGCCTGCAACTCCCTTTAAAATGCATAAAAATTAGCTTGACGAGTAGACAGTAAATACTGTGCAGTAAGGTGCTGGTGGGAGAAGGTAGATGATAAGAATATAGATTTTCACAGTAAAATTCTTTCAACATTTGAGGGTTTTTTTTTTTTTTTGGGGGGGGAGAGGTTTTTGCTATAGAGCGCATGCACTCACCAGTAAGACAAAGACAGAGACAGAAAGCAAGAAATCATCCCTCAGGGGGGATGGCCACGCCACAATCCCTTCCCCTCCATTCTCCTCTTGGGATCTTGGGCACGCATGCACACGCGCCTGGCGTGAATTTAAGCCATAGGGTCTGGGACTCGAACCACAGTCGACTACATGGGAGTCCAGCGACATAGCCATTGCGCTAACTGCTGTTCCCAACATTTGAGTATTTTTAAAATAAAATATTGGGAAAAAAACAGGGTCCTCTGCATATGGCGTGTAGCAGCTGTATCACTGTCCCACAATTAGCAGGAGGTGGACATGCCACCCAAGCCTGAAGGCAAAAAAATAAATTTTCAAAGTAAAATTTTTTCAAAATTTGGGGGTTTTTTTTTTTTTTTTGGGGGGGGAGAGGTTTTTGCTATAGAGCGCATGCACTCACCAGTAAGACAAAGACAGAGACAGAAAGCAAGAAATCATCCCTCAGGGGGGATGGCCACGCCACAATCCCTTCCCCTCCATTCTCCTCTTGGGATCTTGGGCACGCATGCACACGCGCCTGGCGTGAATTTAAGCCATAGGGTCTGGGACTCGAACCACAGTCGACTACATGGGAGTCCAGCGACATAGCCATTGCGCTAACTGCTGTTCCCAACATTTGAGTATTTTTAAAATAAAATATTGGGAAAAAAACAGGGTCCTCTGCATATGGCGTGTAGCAGCTGTATCACTGTCCCACAATTAGCAGGAGGTGGACATGCCACCCAAGCCTGAAGGCAGCTGTTGGGGGAAGCAAATGCAATGAGAAAGGCTCATGTCCAGCTCCGGGACATGTTCTACTAACTTCTTCCAATCCAAGAGAGGGAAAAAAGTGTTTAAGACCTTTAGTAATTTAATTAGTGCTTATTGTGTATCTGCACAAAGAGGAAGCATGTGGCTGTATCATAATTTGAAATGACACGAAAGAAGGCCATTACTGGGCCTGCCAGAGGTAAGCCTGGGAAACTTCCAGCTGGCACCCGGCTGAAAACGTCAGCTGTGGGGGGTCCAATTGCTTTGCCCTTGAACTCATGCTGTGGATGATATATTAAGTAAAGGTATACATCATGCTTAGATGCAAAGTGCTGGTAAATTAGAGTTTATGACTAATTAAAGGAGTTAATTACTTATAGGAAAGGGGTAGCAAAGTTTTTGATAATGTACACAAGAATCACTGAATGTGTATTCTTTTTTTTTTTTTTAAAGAATTTTAAAATTTAACCTTATTTTTTTAATTTAAATTTGATCATAGAAGGACAGAGCAAGAGAGAGAGTGAGAGAGAAAGCAAGAGAAGACGAGAAAGGAAGCTGTCACGTCCAGGACTCAATCCATGGTTGGGCATGTGGTAGTCCAGTGCCCCCAACCACCACGCCACCTGCCAGCCCCAAATGTGTCTATCTACATATCTAAATACGAATACCTAAATATGTGTCTAAGCACAAGTTTTCACATATTGAAGCTTCTTAAATTAAGACCCACATGCTCCAATTCACAGGACAACAGCCTGGAAATCTGCAAAGAAAGCTCAAATCCTAGCAAAAAGTGCCTCATCAGAGCGGGCCTTAGCTGCTGAGCACCTGCTCACAGTCGCAAGGGCAGCCCCAATGGCCCTTGCTTATTTGACCTCGGAGCAGATGAGCAATGTCAGACACTTTACCCATATAAATAAGTCACTAGAAAAAGTCCCGAGGCACTTCCATAAAATAGTGTTTTTGTCATGTCACAAGTCCTAAGTCATCTGTTGGCAAATATAACCATGAATTTTTGAAATGTACATTTCTACTGTATTAGTAATTTACCATCTCCTGCATGGTTTTCCACTAAATAGCATGTTTGTTTATTTCTCAGGTTTGACCTCAGTCCCAAGCAACATCCCGTTTGATACACGAATGGTTGACCTTCAAAACAATAAAATTAAGGAAATCAAAGAAAATGACTTTAAAGGACTCACTTCACTTTATGTAAGATATGCTATTTTCAAGTATTAAAAAAATCAATATCACTGTTAAGATGATTAATCAATCATATTGTGTTAGTGTGAACAAGTCTTACTTTTCTGTATGTGAAGAATGACAAAATCTGTCTTTAGAGAAGTTCTAGTAAACTAAAAATGAGATTTAATTCAAATGATGTTTACTGAATAACAGCCAAGTGAAAGGCAGTGGGCGAAGTTTCATGGTCCTAATATGGGCCTACGATCTATTCAGGCAGTAATAGTAGTTATGCATTAAATGAATAAGAAAACAATTAAGTACAGCGATCATCAGCACAAAGTGTAAGAAATCTACACCAAATCTGCTGGCTTGTTTTAAGCCACCACTAATTTTTAACATCATCACACAGAAAATACCTATATCAAATTTAATGCATACAGGGACCAGCAGTTAGCATAATGGCTATGTTGCTGGACTCCCACATAGTCAACTGTGGTTCGAGTCCCGGACCCGGTGGCTTAAAACTCATGCCAGGTGCGTGTGCGTGCGTGCCCAAGATCCCAAGAGGAGAATGGAGGAGGAGGGACTATGGCATGGCCATCCCCCATGGGGGGTGGTTTCTCACTTTCTGTCTCTCTGGTGAGCACACACCCCTTATGGCAAAATATCTCTTTACAATAAAAAAAAGAAAAAGAGGGACCAGCAGTTAGCGTAATGGCTATGTCGCTGGACTCCCATGTAGTTGACTGTGGGTTGTGTCCCGGCCCCGGTGGCTTAAACTCACGCCGGGTGCGTGTGTGTGCGTGCCCAAGATCCCAAGAGTAGAATGGAGAAGGAATTGTGGCGTGGCCATCCCCCCGGGGGGTGATTTCTCGCTTTCTGTCTCTCTTTGTCTGTCTGGTGAGTGCATGTGCCCTATAGCAAAAACCTTTCAAAAAAAACAAAAACAAAAACAAAAACAAAATCTGATGCATACATGTATGGCTTCCTTCCTAGACTTAAAAGAAAAAAACCACGTTTTCTCCTTAGTATATTTATCAACATCGCTTTAATTTCCCAAGACTTAAGAGATCACTATTTCTCTGTTTAACACTTTAAGTCTTCCATATTTCAGCAAATGCAGTTTTGGTTTAATCTGAAGTTGGGTTTGCAGAGAACCTGGGCTCACGCTGGCACAGCAGTGGGAGTGCTGCATCTCCCCTAGCACTTCCTGGCTTCTGCATGCCGTGCCCTCAGGTGGTCAGCCTGGACAGGCCTTTCCAAACCACTCCCCACACTCAGGATGTGCTGAAAGATGCCATACCCATGGCTAGCCCTTGTTGCCATGTAGGCCTGGCTCTGTGCCTACTTCTGAGCTCTGAAAGCTGTGAGGTCCTACTGCCTCCCTGCCACTGTAGGTTCAAGGACAGACATGATGATCACTTCATGGCACACAGAGGGATCCTCAGTCTCACCTCAAACCTGGATGCAGGGCAAGGAGTCTCACCCAGAGGGAGCCTGGGCTGACCTTTCTGCAAAGCTCACGCTTGCATACTATGCTGCCTGATAACCAGGACCTGGCCTGCTTCCTTACCATTCAAACTGTGCAGGGAGCTCAGAGTGGTAAAACTATACAAAATATAGCACATGCTCATACACACGCACATGCTCACACACACGCACATACACACACAAGAGAGCATGTGTACGAATGTGTGTGTGCAAGAATAACAACTAATAGCTTACTTGATACTGGAGTCATAAAGAGATTTTTTAAAAAAGCATTACTTAAGGGAACCAGCAGTTAGCGTAATGGCTATGTCGCTGGACTCCCACGTAGTCGACCGCGGTTCGTGTCCCGGACCCGGTGGCTTAAAACTCACGCCGGGCGCATGTGCGTGCGTGCCCAAGATCCCGAGAGGAGAATGGAGGAGAAGGGACTGCGGCATGACCATCCCCCCTGGGGGGTGATTTCTCGCTTTCTGTCTCTATGTCTCTGTCTGTCTGGCGAGCGCACGCGCCCTACAGTGAAAATCTCTCTCTCAAAAAAAAAGCATTACTTAATTTTATTTACTATTATTATTATTTGTAATTTGCTATAGGGCAAGTGTGTTCACCAGAGTGGAGGTAGGGAGTGAGAAAACAAGCAGCCAGGTCCGGGACTTGAACCACGGTTGGCCCTGTAGGAGTCCAGTGCCCCAACCACCACACTACCTGCCGGCTCCCAAAAGAGATTAAAATTTAGCCTTTCTCATACATTATTTTGTTATATTTTAGGAGTATTCCAGGGACTTAGTCTACAGGCACTTCCATTTTTCATTGAAAATGTGAATCTAAAAGGTGTCAAGTGCTTTCCTGTGCCACCTTGACGCCGTTAGTCAACTTTACACGGCACTGTTAGGGTGAGTGCTCTCGAGCCCGGCAGTCCTAGGCACAAACCCTGGCTCTCACCCAGTATCTAACACTGGGAAAGTGGCCTTCCCTCCCTCAGCTGTCAAGACAGCACGGAATTCATGGCTGTTAACATTAAATCGCAAGGAAAAAAAAGGGGGGTTGGCAGGTGGCTTGGTGGTTAAAGGGCTCCCACATGGCCGACCATGGTTTGAGTCCCAGACCTGGAAGCTTGCTTTCTCACTTTCTCTCTCTCTCTTTTTTTCTCTTTCTCTCTCTCTCTCACTCTCACTCTGTCCCCCTCTTATCAAATAAATAAATAAAGTTAAATACAAATAATACTTAAAAAAAAGGTTAAATCGCAAGGGACCAGCAGATGGTGTAATGGTTATGTTGCTGGACTCCCACATAGTCAAGTTCGAGTCCTGGTCCTAGTGGCTTAAAACTCATCCTGGGCACGCGCGCACGCGCGTGTGTGTGTGTGTGTGTGTGCCCCTAAAGTCCTGGGAGGCAGAGGAAAAGGGGGGTGATTCTTGTTTTCTGCCTCCCTTTCTCTCTAGCTCTCTAGCATGCCTTATAGCAAAAATCTCTCTCTAAAAACAAAAAAAGGTTAAATCACAAGTCCATGTGAGGTGCTCGCAGCGGTAAAGCAGCCTGACTGCTAACCAGCACTGCTTCCTTCCAGGCTCCCACGGGCAGGCTGGCCCCACACACTGAGAGAAAACACCTCGAGACATGGGTATATCCTATACTTACAAAATACTCGGTCAGTTACAGCATCACCTCATACGGTAACTTTAAAAAACGAATCTAAATCCTTTTTTAGATATTCTACAGGTTCTGTTTCATTTTAGTTGTGTGCTTGTGTTCAGGTTCTCACACAAAGGACAACCTGGAGAGCGAATGAGGTCATTAGCACACACCCAGGCCCCCTGCTCCCTGCTAGTCACCTTTACAGACACACTCTTCAGAAACTACTGCCTGCTTCTGCAAGGCTATAATTTCTGCATCTTCTGTCCTCACGTATAACCGCACTGTTTGTTGATGATGACTCTGGGGCTCTGTGGCAACCACCTCTGGATTTCCATGTAGAAGCCGCACTGGGACAGCACAGCTGGGGCGCTCCCCAACAGCGGGTGCCAGGGAGCACGAGATAGTGCTGAATAGGAACTGTTCCCTGCTCTGCTTCACTTACCCCTCTCCTACAGAGCCAACGCTGTGTGTCTCAGGGAGAGAGCCAAAGGCTTACGCGCCATAGCTGGATCTTCCTAAGTGCCAAGCCCTCCTGGGCAAGTGAGCTGTCACCCTCACTTGCTGGGTTCCTTTTCTTCATTGTGCCCATTTTCTCCTCACTAAAAGGAATAATTTACTCTGAATTTACCTCATGGCTAAAGTGAGGATTCCAAGCCATCTTAGTGATCTATTTTCCTCACCTCATTTTTGGTTTAACAAAAGGAAAAGGATACACTCTGTCAGCATCACCCACACCCACCAAAAGAGTTTGTTTGTTTTTGCTATAGGACATGTGCACTTGCCAGAAAAAGAGAGAAAAAGAAAGTGAGGAATCGCCCCCGGGGGGGATGGCCATGCTGCAATCCATTCCCCATTCTCCTCTTAGGATTTTGAGTATGCATGCACATGTGCCCAGAGTAATCCTCAAGCTGCTGGGTCTAGGACTCGAACCGCAAAGCTAGCCATATGAGATCTAGCACCTTAACCTCTATGCCACCTCTTCAGAAAGAACCAGCAGTTTCACCTCCTCTGAGAACTAACCTTTCTCAGTTAAACAATAGTGATATACCTGGAAGGAGAGTAAGAACACAGAGACCCAAAGTGCTGAGAGTGAAATGAGGAAACAAGCTGATAAACGGAGTGCACTGGGCAGCAAAATGTGTGTACTCCTGCTGCAGAAAAACACAATGGGGGCAAGCAGGTAGCATGGTGGTTGGGGTGGCACTGGACTGCCACATGGCCAAGTGCGGTTCAAGTCCCAGACCTGGCAGCTTACTTTTTCACTTACTCCCTCTCTCTCTTTGGTGAGCACACATGCCCTATGGCAAAATAATAATAATAATAATAATGAATAACATTAAATAAATAATTCTAAAAATAAACAAACAAACAAGACCATTCACAACAATGTAATACAATAAGGTAGTCAACATAGTCATCAGTCTGGAAAATGAGAAAATTGAGGAACAAAATCCATAAAAACACTAAAGTCAGTCTGCTCCTTGGGAGGATCAGATGATCTGGAGAAGCAGAGAGGGGCAGAACGGTCTGAAGATGCTCAGCAATCCTTGACTGCCCTGGCGAATGTCAAGATTTTTGCTTGCACAATATGGCAATGAGGCGGAGCTATGTCCACTTTGCACTAGAGAGTCATTGGGGGCACTCATGGGTCCCAGTTTGCCCAGGACTTCCCAGTTTGGGTTTTACAATCCCCACATCCAATATCTTACAGTTCCAGCAGACCGAAACAGATGTCACCCCAGAGCCATGCACCCTTGGAGATACCGTCAATGACACTATGGAGAGTGCAGTGGTGCCGGCATACACTCTGCTACTCTTTGGGATCAAATCTCCTCTGAAGGGTACTGCTATGTCATTCTGAGAAACATCCATGGAACTGAGAAGAGGTTGAGCCCTTTCTCAAGGTTCATTACCACCTCCCCATTGCCTGAAAATATGCCAAAATGGGGAAAGCGCTGGGTAGGACCTTGTTTCATCACTCTTCTATTCTGGGAGTGAATATGAAAGAAGTGAAGTTTTCACAGTAGTCATATTAAATATACTTAGTATAATTTTATAGAATGAACAGATTTTAAGATTATATATATATATATATTTTCCTATAGGGCATGTGCACTCACCAGAAAGACAGAGACAGACAGAGAGACAGAAAGTGAGAAATCACCCTCCAGGGGGGATGGCTATACCACAATCCCTTCCCCTCCATTCTCCTCTCGGGACCTTGGACGCACATGCATACATGACTGGCAAGAGTTTAAGCCATGAGGTCTGGGACTCAAACCACAGTCGACCACATGGGAGTCCAGCAACGTAGTCATTACGTCATCTGCTGGTCCCGATAAAGCTATTATAAATGGTGATTTCTGGGAAAGGAAATAGAAGGTCAGGCAGAGGCTGAAGTTTCAACCATGTGAATGTAGCATCTACGCAAAGATAAAGAAGACAAGATTATCTCAAACCAAAGGTACAGCATCAGTCACTAAAGCTTTGCATTGTCCCAACTCAGTAGTAAATATATAATTCTTAGATTGGGCTGGGGAATTTTTTTGTGGTTAATCATGTACAAAGATGGCATAAATTGATTTCCATGACTGTCATTGTAGAGTGTCAGTAAAGCCAATCCACTTCCTAACTTTGTGTAACTTTCTGTGCTTCCTCCAGGCTCTCATTCTGAACAACAACAAGCTAACAAAGATCCACCCCAAAACCTTTCTAACCACCAAGAAGCTGCGAAGGCTGTACTTGTCCCACAACCAACTCAGTGAAATACCTCTTAATCTCCCCAAATCATTAGCAGAACTCAGAATTCATGATAATAAAGTTAAAAAAATACAAAAGGATACATTTAAAGGAATGAATGCTTTACATGTTTTGGGTAAGTTTTCCAGATGAATGGCATATCTTGAAACTATAATTAATATACAGATATTAAATACTATCATTGCTAACTTTTAAGAATGATAATTTCCAAAATTAATTTTTGTTAAGAACTAGTTATTTAACTTTATTATTATTATTACTGTTATTAAAGACTTCCACAGGGCACACATGCTCACCAGAATGAGAGAGAGAAAGAGAAAGCCACCAGGTCTGGGACTCAAACTACAGTTGGCCATGTGGGAGTCCAGGACCTGCTGGCCCCTCTAAAATTAACGGTGCCACTTGTTGTCCCCTCTAAAATTAATTTTTGAATGTACTAAATCTGTACCTAGGTAAGCCACTTATAAACCACTTAAGATGCCAAACAAAACTCATAGAAAATATGGCTTTTGAAATACTGTCTCTCTCATTTTTTTCTTTCTTTCTGTTAACAGAGTGTTCACACACTCACGTGAGAAAGAGAGAGAAAGTACCCCCCGTGGGGTCTGGTCACACCACAGTCCTTTTTTCTGTAGTCCTCATCTCATCGACATCCTGGTATGCACGTACACTCAGCATGTTTTTTAAGCCTCCAGGACCAGGACTTGAATCTGAGTTGGTCATGCAGGATGTGGCTTCCTCCATGCAGTACTTACCTGCTGCCCTATAGGCCTGCCCACACATCTCCTCTGAAATACTCAGTATGATTTCTGCTTTTTGACTAGACTCCTAATTAGTAAAGTCTAAGCTAGCCCTATAAATTTCTCTCTCTCTATTTATTTATTTATTTATTTATTTTTGAGGTTCTTGCTATAGGATGCGTGCGCTTGCCAGAAAGACGAGACAGAAAGCGAGAAATCACCCCCCCCCCCCCGGGAGGAGGCCCCGCACCCAATAGGATGCCCACGTCCCAATCCCTTCTCCTCCATTCTCCTCTCAGGATCTTGGGCATGCACACGTGCCTGGCGTGAGTTTAAGCCACCAGGTCCAGGACTCGAATCACAGTTGACTACATGGGAGTCCAACAACATAGCCATTACTCCAACTGCTGGTCCCATAGCCCTGTAAATTTAAAGGTAGTATTTTTACCGTATTATATAAATGACTCAAATATATTGTAAAAATTATTTCTGAGAGTATTTAACTGTATACTAACTTTTGATTGTCTACTTTAAGATTATTATTTTTTTTTCTAATCACCTGAGAGTATGTGTGTTTGCCAGAAAGAGAAATGGGGAAAGCACTCCCCATAGTGGGGTGCAGTCATGCCACAGTCCCTTCTCTATTTCTCTATCCTGTCAGGATTTCAGCACACACATATGTGCCCGGCATGTTCATTAAGCTGCTGAAACCAGGACAGAACTGCAGTTGGGCATGTGGGATCTGGCCATCTTAACCGACAGGCTCTGGGGCCAGCTCTGCTTTAAGAGGAATTTGTTGTTCTGTATTTCAAACCACACCTTATTTTACTTATACCATTCATTAAGCATGCCATTTTTCCATGATGGTCATTCAAATTTCCTAACCAAGGTCCTCGTTCATTTATTCTCTCTCTCTCTCTTTTAAAGGGTTTTGTCACAGGCGCCTGAGCTATGAGAGGGATACAGAGAGAGAAAGTGAGAAATCACCCCTCATGGGGATGCCATATTTCTCCTCCATTCTCCTCTTGGGATTTTGGGCATGAACACACATGTACCCAATGTGGTATTCAAGCCACCATGTCTGGGACTCAAACTGCAGTCAGCCATGTGGGAATCCAGTGCCTTAACCACCATGCCGTCTGCTGGCCCTCATTTTTTCTCTTAATTCAACCAAGTGCCTGGGACTTATCAAAGAGTCTCACTTATTGGCTTTTCCTCAAAGTTTTATTTTATTTTAACTTATTTTTTAGAGAGACTTTTGCCACAGGGTGCTTGTGTTCGCCAGAGAGATAGAAAGCAAGAAATCAACCCCCAGGAAGGATGGCCACACTGCAATCCCTTCTCCTCCATCCTCCTCTCAGTATTTCAGGCATACATGCACACATACCTGGTATGTCTCAAGCCACCAGGTCCAGGACTTGAACCATGGCCAACCATGTGGGAGTTCAGCAACATAAACATTACATCATCTGCTGGTCTCTCAAAGTTTTACTTTTTAAATTTTTTAAAAGAATGTTTATTTTTAAATTTTATTTATTTTTAATTTGACCAAAGAGAGACAGAATGAGAGAGAAAGGGGGAATGCGAGAAAGCAGCTCCTAGGTTCAGGACTTGAACTGCAGTTGGCCATGTTGGGAGTCCAGCACCTCAACCATCATGCCACTTGCTGGCCCCCCTTTTTAAAAAATAAATATTATTTTATTTAACTTCATTTATTTATTTATTTTAATTTGACCAGAGAGCTGACTTAAAGTTTTTTTTCTTTTGGAGAGATTTTCACTGTAGGGCGCGTGCGCTCTCCAGACAGACAGAGAGAGACATAGAGACAGAAAGCGAGAAATCACCCCCCCCAGGGGGGATGGTCACGCCGCAATCCCTTCTCCTCCATTCTCCTCTGGGGATCCTGGCACGCACGCACACGCGCCCGGCTTGAGTTTTAAGTCACCGGGTCCAGGACACGAACAGCGGTCGACTACGTGGGAGTCCAGCGACATAGCCATTATGCTAACTGCTGGTTCCCAAAGTTTTAAAAACTTTAAAAAAGGAGAGAAATAAAATGTATACTGTAAAATACAAGCATTTTGAATTAGATGAAGAGTGAACTTTCTTTCTGATCCAGTATTACCACCACAAAACCTTTATCCTGCTCGTAGCTGGTGGAGACTGACAGTGTCATGGGTTTACAATTCAAGCAACATGGTGAGTTGTTACGTGTTCCAGTTTACACACTATGAAGCAGTGTTTCTCTGAGGCTGACAGAAAGACGGCAGAAGACATCTGAACAACCAAGTTCACAACTTCTCAGGATGTTCCCAGGGTGTGTCTCTGCGTGTGTGGGTTTTTCCCACTCACAACCCATATGTACTAAATGTCCTTTTCCCCACAGAAATGAGTGCAAATCCTCTTGAAAACAATGGGATAGAGCCGGGTGCATTTGAAGGAGTGACTGTGTTCCACATCAGAATTGCTGAAGCAAAACTGACCTCAATTCCTAAAGGTTTGTATTCAATTCAATTAAAATAGGGTATTTTAAAAATTGTCATCTTTCAATGACCACTTAAGTGTAATGCCATGAACTGTGCAGTGTGCACTGTCAACACCACCCTGCTGCCAGCAGGGCCTGCACCCGCCTCGGGTGTGGTCAACCCACCTCACACACAGGAGCCACGTGCAGAGCCTGTGGTTTTATTTTTGGTAGTATGAAGCCATCTTTTCTCCAGTAGAGAACAAACATTAAGGAAGCAGTGATCTTTTATTTTCCTTCTCTTTCTGACCACTGCCCATCTACACCTGTCATTCTGTGGTGTCTGTTAGAGGGTACTCTGGAGAGAAAGTAGGAAGGACAGGTGCAGCGTGGGTCCCCAGCTCTGGCCTGCAGTCGCAGCTAGCGGAGCAGCCGGGGAGGCCGTGTAGGGGCCACTCGCGCCAGCTGGAGCAAGAGTGTCCTCTGGGCAAGGGTGCCTGGCTTCCGGCCAGGGCTGTGCAGGCTCATCCGCCCTCACGCAGAAGGGCTTGAAGACAGTATCAGGGACATAGCGAGTGCCCTCTGGTGACATAACTGCAACTGGAAAAATGAGCACTGCCCATTACTGTGGCTGCACGTGGCCTGAGGCTGGCACTTCCTAGACAGGCTCTTGAGTCTGCAGGACAACAGCTTTCTAACCCACTCGCCCACTCCTGCGAGGACTGCCTTTCCTGGAGCTCGCTGGGAAGGTGCGTTGCCTGCTTCCCTGACAAGGGTGCTTGTGCGATCTCACTGTCATCTGCCTGTCTCTCATTCTGCTTTGCTGGCTACAGGGGTCGGAAATAACCCATACAATTCATAACAGACTGTCATTTTCAAACACCTCTGTCATCCAGTGTCCAACAGTAAAAGTAATGACTTCATCAAATTTCCCCTCCACTTGTCTCCTGGTCCACAAAGCAGACCAGATCATTTAAAAGACCATGAGGATGTTATTATTAATCAAATGACGAACTTAAGTGAAAGATCCTCTAAAATGAAAACACAAAGATAAGTTTCCTATTCAGGAAGAAAAACAGTTAAATTCGAAATTACACACATAAAAAAAAAATCACCTTAATTTAGGTCTGAAGGATGTGGCTGTTTTTCTAAAAGAAACTTCAAATGTTATGTTTACCTTTCCAGTTTTAGAACAAGCACAAACAATACAAACAAACTCTGCCCTGTAAGTTAAACATATAAACCTCCTTTCATACAGTGGAAGCTGACAGCAAGAAGGGGATTCAGGCCAGGCTCTGGCCGGCCCCATCACTGCTTGCTGTGCTCTCTGTGTGTTTGCACCGGGGCTTTTCTACGATGCAAACAATTCATTGTAATCCTCTTCACATTTCAAAGCGTCTCTTAAAAATGAAGCCTTCATCTCTTACTAAGAGCTCAAATTCTTCCAAAGCCCAAAGAAGAATTATGTCTCTCGATATTTAAATTGAAATAAAACCTCTAAACCTATGTAACTACCCTCCAGATCTCTCGGCCATTCAGAAGACAGTCAAGTTTTTATTTATAATTTATTTGTGAAGGTATGTCTCACACTTCAAATTCAGTCAGTCAGCACTGCACTGGGGCAGGGTGAAATGATGCAGATGTCCCGGGACCCTTCCCAGACCTGACAAGTAAGAGAACATCTTCCTTCCGCTTGCTTGGGAAATCCCACTGTGTGGTGGTTCTGTGCAGTCAGAAGGACCTGTCTGAAACCAGGGTGGGACAGAAACACCCGTGCAGAAGCATGCTATGCTGTCGGCAGTCCCAGTGGCTGCCAAGTTCACACCTGTACCCCTCTGTCCTACATGGCCCACTTGCTTCCTGTCCGAGGGCACACAGCAGCCGCCTCAAGTTCTATAAACCCTCTACCAGAGATTCTTCTTTCTGGCTTCCCCCTACTCTAAAATAGGTGGGCACATTGTACCATCTATTATTCTAGTGACTTTTTATAGTGGAATACATCTGCTCAACTGAAATATGAGGTCTTTCAGACTAGGACCATTGTCTTATATATTGAAGGGACCATAAAGTCATCCCATAAATGGAATGAAGCTCCATTAGGCAAATTTCAAATTAGAACCCTTTCGGTTTACAAGAATTATTTTCCTGCCTTCTAGTTTATATACTTTTAAAATTTAAAGTAGACTCTGGAATCAGAATAAATTTAGCCGTGAAGACTACTAGTATTCTTAAGGTTCTTTCAGTTACCTTCATCAGTCAGGAAGGAAATGTCTCAGTGAGAATTGGAAAAAGGACAAAATTCTAGCCAACTGGAACGTTGTTTGATAAATACTTTGTAGATTCACAAAGCTAACAGTCTGACTGAGTCTTCTGCTCAGTTCATTTCAATGCAGCTTTGTTTCACCTGGGGAGAGTTGGGGTCCCAATGTGCCCGTGTGTGAGGAGAATGAACACTCACTGGTGGCCTCCCATGTACTGGGGCATTTCAGGTGCTCTTGTTAATTTGTACAAAAGCAACGAACTACTGAGCCCATAGATGGCAAAGAGGTTTAGGGACCTGGATCTTACGTGGCCAACTGTTCTGCTGAAGTCCTGAATTTGGGGAAAAACAAAAACAAAAACAAAACCACCAGGCATGTGTGCATACATTTCCAAAATCCCAAGAGGAGAATGGAGAAGGGACTGCAGTGCCCTACAGCAAAAAATAGAAGAAACAAAAGCAATTACAAATAGAAAGAATAAACATTGCAATGGATTGAACATACAAATAGAAAAACCTGTGCTTATGACGATGTTAACAAAAAAAATCTTTACTGGTCATTTCCGGGCACTGTACCTATTCAGTACTTGAAAGAGTCAAGCTTCCTTCCCCTCGCCGCCCCCCGCCCCATCTGTATTACAAAATAACTAAATAACTGATAAGAAAAAAAAATTCTTTAATGATACCATACGAAACTACCATCCAAATCTACAAAATGAATGTCTCAAGCAAATCAGTATCTAAACAGAAAGGGGAGAAAAGGAAGTATGTTATAGAAGAAGATATTTTAAGAGAGATAAGAACTAAATATATATTCCATAAGCTTTATTTGGATTCTGACTAGAATAAATTAAGTATAAAATTATATAGTTGAGGGAACCAGCAGTTAGCATAATGGCTAAGTCACTGGACTCCCACGTAGTTGACCATGGTTCGTATCCTGGACCCGGTGGCTTAGAACTTACACCGGGCACATGTGCGTGCGTGCCCAAGATCCTGAGAGGAGAATGGAGGAGAAGGCAGCGTGACCATCCCCCCTGGTGTGTGGTATCTCGCTTTCTGTCTCTATGTCTCTCTCTGTCTGTCTGGCAAGCGCATGTGCCCTATAGCGAAAACCTCACACACAAAAAAGTATATGGTTGAAACAACTGGGGAAATTGAATATTATTAGATATTAGTAAGAATTACTGGAAATTTTGTTAGTTGTGATATTTATATGGTGGTTATATAAAAAGATAACTTTACCAGTTAATAACTAGTTCACATCTAATTAACTATTTATAGGTGAAATGACATTAGGTAAGGAATTCATTCTTATTTACTTTTTATTTATATATTTTTATTTATTTATATATATTTTTTGCTTTAGGGTGTGTGTACTCACAGGGATGGGGGGAGAAAGTGAGAAATTACCCCTCAAGGGGGATGGTCACATTGCAATCCCTTTTCCTCCATTCATCTCTCAGGATTTTGGGCACACAAGCATATACATCTGGCATGTTTTTCAAGCCTCCAGGTCTGGGACTCCAATAGTGCCTTGGCCACGTGGGATGCCGCAGCCTTAACCTCCACATCACCTGCTGGCTCTATTTCATTTTTACTTCACTAGTGGGTATGTGCTTGCCAGAGAGACAGGGCGAGAAAGCATCTGAAACCACCTCCCAAGGGGGCATGGTCACATTTTAATTTCTTCTCCATGTGGGATCCAGTTCCCTTAACCATCAAGCCATGGGGCTAGCCTGGAATTTATTTTTAAATATCTCAGAAAATAAAAGGAGGTACTAAACAACAAACAAAAACAAGTTGATAAATAAGCCAATAAATAAGCAACTAATAGGGGAGCTGAAAGAGATCAGAAAAATGGAGACAGTTATTGAAGCTGGGCAACAAATTGGTTCAAAATACTGTTTTCTGTTTTTGTTTATGATTGAAATTTTCTATAATTAAAAAATTAAGAAAAAATCAGGCATCTAAAAAAATAATAATTACTGAAATCTGGGCCAGCAGGTGGCATGGAGGTTAAGGCGGCTGGATCCTACATGGCCAACTTTGTAGTTTGAGTCCTAGACCCGGTAGCTTGAAATTGATGCCGGGTATGTGTTCATGTATGCCCAAAATCTCGAGAGGAGAATGGATGGCAGCATGGCCATCCCACTTGGGGGTGTAGTTTCTCACTTTTGCCCCTCTGTCTGTCTGTCTCTGTCTTTCTCCAGTGGGCACATGTACTCTATAGCAAAAACTAAAAGAAAAAAGAAAAAGAAAATCTCTCTCTATCAAAAACAAAAATCACTGAAATCAGTAATCTGAAATTTGAAGTAATGAATGGCCCATGGGGCTTGGCTTTACTTGACCTAACATACCTCTTTCTTTTCTTATTAGAGCTACCAACGACTTTACTGGAGCTTCATTTAGACTATAATAAAATTTCAACTGTGGAACTTGAAGACTTTAAAAGATACAAAGAACTGCAAAGGTAAACATTCTCAAGACCTTAACCTAGAAGTTGTAGCCCATATGGGTAAGACAGCAATGGCATTTCTTGGACAATGTGAATAGGGACCATAGTCAAGATGATCACTGCAGATACTATAGTGTGATGGGAAACCCCAAGAGAACCACTATGCCCACTGCCTATGCTAACAGGACAGGCAAACACAGTGAAAGAGTAGGGGCACTTTTGAAATCTCTCTTTTGTTGGATTTACATTAGATAAAGAACTTTCTGGGGACCAGCAGTTAATGTAATAGCTATGTCGCTGGACTTCCATGTAGTCGACCACGCTTCGCGTCGCAGACCCAGTGGCTTAAAACTCACACCGGGTGCGTGTGCGTGCGTGCCCAAGATCCCAAGAGGAGAACAGAGGAGAAGGGATTGGGGCGTGGCCATTTCCCGTGGGGGGTGGTGGTGATTTCTCGCTTTCTGTCTGTCTGGCGAGCACACACGCCCTATAGCAAAAAAAACCTCTAAAACAATTATTAAAAAAAAAGATAATAAAAAAAGAACTTTCTGACAGGCTGTTACATACTTAAACAGGTTATTGAATAAAGCCATGAAATATCTTTCTCTAAACATATGTTAAAAATAGAACAGGCTTACCAAGATTGTGGTGCTTGCAGATAACCCTATCACACCCATACATCTGTATAAGAGCTAATGTACTTTATGTCATTTTTAGACTGGGCCTGGGAAACAACAGAATCACAGAGATTGAAAATGGAAGTCTTGCTAATATTCCACGTGTGAGGGAAATACATTTGGAAAACAATAAACTAAAAAAAATCCCTTCCGGATTACAAGAATTGAAATATCTCCAGGTAAAACATTCTACTTGTATTTGGTAGACATTATCACTTTTCTTTAGCTTTTGTAAATCTTATTAATATCTCCTAAGCAAAGACTGAACAAGCAGCAAGAGTAATTCACACATAAGAACACTCCGGGGTTGCACGAGGTGTCGGGAGGAGGAGAGCGTTAGGAGACTGGGTTCTGCACAGATTCACCTAAGAAGCTCAACACGTCTCCAACTTTGGCTTCTCCTGCTGATACTGCTGAAGCCAATGTGGCAAAGCCGCTGACACAGCTAATTTCAGGTTTTTGGGAAGTGGGTGGCTACACAGAGGCAGGACTGTTAACAGACAGATGCTCTTTTGTTCTACAAACATTCCACAAGGCAGAGTAAGAGGGTTAGGATTCGGGTAACCCTTAGTGTTTTGATTATTGATGTGGTGGTGGGTGGGGAGACTAGGTTAGAAGTGTATTTGCCTTTTTAAGCATTCAAACCAGAGTATACAATTAACTGACAATCGATTTCTTTTTACTCTGGTAGCTCAGAGGTCATGGATTCCTCAGAGTCTGACCGAGTTTTAGAACTTCTTAAGAACAAAAGTGAAGACAATATTTTAGGACTTTCATAATGTCCTGATTTTCATCTATAGACCTCAGAATAGGGATCCCTACTTAATGTCATTTCAAATTAATCCATTTTTCTCATGTGTTTTACTTGCTATGAAAATCATCTTCCAAGAAAAAAACAAAGACTCTGAAAATGAACATGGCTTTGAGCCTCTTTGCTTCTTCTAGTTTTCTTCCTGTCTATCTGTAAACAAATGTCATTCGCTGCCCTCCCGGGAAGCACAGCCATCAGCAAAGGCAGGTGTGGATTTCAAGGCGACCTCTGCAAGTGCACAGTGTAGCCTCTAGGCACCTGTGCAGCCGTGAGCATGGCCTGGGGTGCCTCTCTAGAGGTCCCGTCCTTGACCTCATTTTTGCTTGCTTTGCTCCAAACTCTAATCCAGCTTCTGGTCCCTCTATAATCTACTTGCCCTTTTGCTAACATTTTCTTTCTTTTTAAAGAATTATTGTTAATTGAATTTTATTCATCATTATTATTTATTTAACTTGACCAGAGAGACACAGAGAGAGAGAGAGAGAGACAGAGACAGAGAGAGACAGAGAGAGAAAGCAAGCCACCAGGTCTAGGTCTCGAATAGCAATTGGCCATGTGGGAGTCCAGCAATTCAACCACCATACCACCTGCCAGCCCTACTAACATTTTCTTCTAGAACTTTTTAGCATCTTGAGAAACTGAAACTTTTTTTGGAGAGGTTTTTTTTTTTTTCCGCTATAGGGCGCGTGCGCTCGCCAGACAGACAGAGAGAGACATAGAGACAGAAAGCGAGAAATCACCCCCCAGGGGGGATGGTCACGCCGCAATCCCTTCTCCTCCATTCTCCTCTCGGGATCTTGGGCACGTACGCACACGCGCCCGGGCGTGAGTTTTAAGCCACCGGGTCCGGGACGCGAACCGCGGTCGACTACGTGGGAGTCCAGCGACATAGCCATTACGCTAACTGCTGGTTCCCCGCTACTAATATTTTCTTAATGAACAGAATCATGACACAAACAGAGAACATAAGTCACAGGTATATGGTTCAGTGGATTTCCACACAGTAATAAACACACTTGTGTGTGGCATGTTTTCAATCCCAGTGAGGTTAGTGTTACGGAGAAGTATACCTTACGCTGATACTGAGCAGCTGGGGAAACGTACAGAAACCAAACATAAGTGCCTGCCACAGAATCCCTAAGAATATAAGAGAGAGGGTAAATGAACACCAAACTCAAACATTTCAGCAATGCCTAGAATTTTCATAATAGCATGATGTAAAGGCAGATTCTAGGGTAAAACCAGCCAAAGCCAATATCTCAGCTTTGCCAGCAAAGTCTCCTAATTCTGACATGCCAAAATGCTGTGGCTAAATAGGTACTTTTATATCCCAGAAATCTCACTGCTGCCAGAACAGGCCAAAAGGAATCAGAAGGGTTGTTAGAGGGAATGAATAAAAGTTCCTACACCCACCAGTCATTCAGAGCAATTATTTAAAAAGACATGCACAGCCTATTCAGCTGTGATCAGTCGACTGGTACAAATGAAAGATTCAACTAGTAGTGCCATGTTAAAAATATGCATGTAAAATGTTAATGGAAAGATCTTTTTAAAAAAACTTACACGAAAGCAGTTCTACACTTCTTTCCCTTTAACACAAAAAAACGCCATCTAACAATTCCTCATATTCACACTATTAGCTCATTCATTGCTTCATTTGCTTACTCACTGATAATACTTTTAAGCACATATTGTAAATATGGCACTGAAGTAACCATATAGATATGCGTGTACACACAAGGTCATACATAGTTTGATGTCAGGGATGTGTTCTGAGAAATGTGTGATTACGTGATTTCGTTGTTGTGTAGATATCAGTGTACTTACATAAACTGAGATGGTGCAGTGTATTACACCTGTAGTCATATGGTATAGTGTACTACACACCTAGGCCATATAGTGTACCATATTATACACCTAGACCATGGTATAGCATATTATATACTCAGGCCATGGTACAGCATATTATACACCTAGCCATATAGTATAGCATATTATACACCTACGCCATGGTACAACGTATTATACACCCAGGCCATGGTATGGTGTATTACATTGTAGTCTACAGTACAGCATATTACATACCTAGGCCATGGTACAACATATTACACACCTAGGCCATATAGTATAGTGTATTACACACCTAGGCCATATGGTATAGTGTATTTACACACCTAGGCCATATGGTATAGTGTATTATACACCCAGGCCATGGTACAATGTATTACACACCTAGGGCACATGGTCTAGTGTATCATACACCCCGCCATGGTACAATGTATTACATATCTAGGCCATGTTACAGTGTATTATATACCTAGGCCATACGGTACAGCTTATGGTTCCTAGGCTTCAAACTTATGGCATTTACCGGTAACACAGTGTCAAGTACTTGTATATCTTATGGAGTTAAAAGATACCATAATAGTAACTTATTATCCCCATCAGATTCCGCACTGTATGTAACTGCATGTGTTAAGATTCTTTTCTATGATCCGCTGTGCCACTGGCTTCTTTCCACCTGCAGTGCCACAGACGCCTGAGTAGGTAGCACGCTGCACTGTGATGCTATGATGTTATCAGGCACAGGCATTTCTCAGCTCCGTTTCAGTCCGATATGACTGCTATCATGTGTGATCTGTGATGGACAAAGCAATGTGGTTACTTGGTGCATGACTACAAGTAAGACAGACAGACAGAGAGAGGAGGAAAGTGCCTGAGGTGATCATGCAGTATGCTCTTTGAGCCTTGGCAAGGGTCCCATGTCACCGCCTCTCACCCCCCTGCATCCTGAACGCTGTGGAGTAGGATACATAAGTTTGAGTCATTTGGATATGAAATACGTATACATGGGTATACTATTTTAAGTAAAAATACATTCAAACAGAAGAAAAAAAACAGATGAATAAACTCACAAGTAAGTGTTGACTATAAAATGAAGATATCCCTTTACATTTACAGGGTATTTTTAATCCATTCTCTTTTCCTACCACAACAGATAATCTTCCTTCATTCTAATTCAATTACAAAAGTGGGAGTGAATGACTTCTGTCCGACAGTGCCAAAAATGAAGAAATCTTTATACAGTGCAATAAGTTTATTCAACAACCCAGTGAAGTACTGGGAAATACAACCTGCAGTATTTCGTTGTGTTTTGAGCAGAATGAGTGTTCAGCTTGGAAACTTCAGAAAGTAGTCGTAATTAGTAATGTCCATTTGATGTAAAATTCAGAAAGTCTTACATTTGGGATACTTGAACTCTATTGGTCATGGTAATATTATACACACAAGCGAAAATCTATTACTGTGCGGTAAGTTCTCTGCCTTATTTTATGACAAAAAATTTCAATAGAATTTTGCCAAACTATTGATATATAAAGATTAAGAGAAAAGCATTTATTGCGGTTTCCTTTTGCATACAAATTAGTCTGCATAAATCTCATGCTTAACCATTCCTTTCTCAGTAACAAAAAAGGACATTTAGTATTTAATATGTTGTTAACAAGTACCTTCTTTAAAAGGACTGGACTGTAAGTGGAATGCTTGACTTAACAAAATTTGTGCTCTATCACTTGCTGTTAGAAACACAAAACAGACAAGAACACTTAGAGAAGAGTATATTATTCTATTCTTACTCTTTCTTTAATAACTTGGGTAGTACTGTAATGATTTCTTCTCATGCTGAAATATGGTTTGATATAATCCTATTGAAATTCCCTCTCTGATGTTGACAACTGTTTTTACACTAAAGTCATCAGCAGTGTTCATCGCCGAGGCAACAGTTGCTGTCCACCCCAGAGGAGGTTGGGGTGCAGTGCGTGTGCTTCTTCTAATTATTACTACGTTGGTATAAAACCGCTGTATAAGTGTGCAGTGAGTATTTATGTAGAATCTGCAACTCACATTGTTATTATCAGTTATTATAAGCTTTAAATAGCATGTCGAGTGTTATGTTACAGAACGCTGTCACCTCAAGTCTAAGGAGTATTTCTGAAATGTCCCTTTCAAAGATCTTGTTTGGAAAAGACTGGACACTATCAATTCGACCAATATGTCTCTTCAGAAACAGACGGACTGCAAACTCTGCGAAACTCACCTGGCATAACCACACAGGCAGAGCATCGAACAGAACAGACGAAACAATGCTCTGTATGGAAGTTAACAGTGTTTCGTGTGTTTTTCATTGACATTTAACAATACATTCAATTAGGAAACAGAGAAAACATTAAAATTATTGGTCTGAAATAAAATATTTGTGCTTTGGTTCAATTATTTTCTCCCACTCAGGAACAGAAACGTTTTTAGAAAACGAACATGTATATTTATTAATTTTACATTTTAGAGTAATATTAATATTTATCCTTAATGGTATTAAATACATAATATAAGTCCTGTGCTACGAAAGTAACCACCTTTATATTAAACTATCTCAAAATGATTTTGAGAACCAGCAGTTAGCATAATGGCTATGTCGCTGGACTCCCACGTAGTCGACCATGGTTCACGTCCTGGACCTGGTGGCTTAAAACTCACGCCAGGTGCGTGTGCGTGCGTGCCCAAGATCCTGAGAGGAGGAGAATGGAGGAGAAGGGATTGCAGCGTGACGATCCCCCCTGGGGGGTGATTTCTTGCTTTCTGTCTCTATGTCTGTCTCTGTCTGTCTGGTGAGCGCACGCGCCCTATAGCGAAAACCTCTCAAAAAAAAAAAAAAAAAAAAAAAAAAAATACTTTTTTGGGAATTTTTGGGTAATGTATAATGCGTGCCCAAGATCCTGAGAGGAGGAGAATGGAGGAGAAGGGATTGCAGCGTGACGATCCCCCCTGGGGGGTGATTTCTTGCTTTCTGTCTCTATGTCTGTCTCTGTCTGTCTGGTGAGCGCCGGCGCCTTATAGCGAAAACCTCTCAAAAAAAAAAAAAAAAAAAGAAAAAAAAAGATTTTAAGTACTTTTTTGGGAAAGGAAGAATAGTATCTATTATATGAGGTGGAGGCATGGAGGGTTTGGATACCAAGGTGAGTAATGAGTAAGATCTCATTCTGCACGGCAGAGTTCTTAACTTTGGCTCTACTGATTTTTGGGGCTGGACCACTTTGTGGCAGGGGCTACGCTGTAGCACCACTGAATACTGAGCAGCTTCCTGGCCTTGCTCACTAGACGGCAGCCATACACATAGCTTCACTCCCTACTGTCAGCCATTTCTCCACACACCATCAAGTGTCTTGGGTGGAGCAGGAGGAGGTGGGGTAAAATCTCAGCTGAGAACTCCTCTTGTGAAAGTTGTAAAGATGACACTATGTGTGATTAAAAAGATAAAAGTTAACCACCAGTCATGATAAGCCTGGAAGAGCTCAGGGACATAGGGGTTTGAGTTGGAAACGCAGCTCCATTTATGGTTGGGGCAAGTCATCCCCCCTTGGCACCTGCTTTCTGTGGATAAAGGGAAGGCGTGGCATTGCTAATCAATTAGGTTGCTGTAAGAATGGAATGGTAAAAGAAAATGTATGTGAAGATGCCTCGTGAAGCCATTGCAGTACATTGAGCTCCATAGAGACAGCGCTGGGGCACATGGCGACTCTGTGCCTCGCGGAGGAAACCTAACTAAACATGGGTAAAGGAGATCCTAAGAAGCAGAGAGGCAAACTGTCATCACATGCATTCTTTGTGCAAACTTGCCGGGAGGAGCACAAGAAGAAGCACCCAGATGCTTCAGTCAACTTCTCAGAGTTTTCTAAGAAGTGCTCAGAGAGGTGGAGGACCATGTCTGCTAAAGAGAAAGGAAAGTTTGAAGATATGGCAAAGGCAGACTAGGCCCGTTAGGAAAGAGAAACGAAACCCTATATCCCTCCTAAAGGGGTAACAAAAAAGAAATTTAAGGATCCCAATGCACCCAAGAGGCCTCCTTCGGCCTTTTTCTTGTGCTGTTCTGAATATCGCCCCAAATCAAAGGAGAACATCCTGGCCTATGCATTGGTGATGTTGCAAAGAAACTGGGAGAGCTGTTGAATAGCACTGCTGCAAATGATCAACAGCCTTATGGAAAGAAGGCTGCTAAGCTCAAGGAAAAGTACGAAAAGGATATTGCTGCACACGGAGCTAAAGGAAAGCCTGATGCCACAATAAGGGGTGTTGTCAAGGCTGAAAGCAAGAAAAAGGAGGAGGACCATAATGAGGAAGATGAAGAAGATAAGGAAGAAGAGGAAGATGTAGAGGATGAAGGTGAAGATAATGATGATAAGTTGGTTCTAGCGCAGTTTTTTCCCTTGTCTATAAAGCATTTAGCCCCCCTGTACACAACTCACTCCTTTTAAAGAAAAAAATTGAAATGTTAAAAAAAAAAGATGCGTCGTAAAGGCTCATAAATTACTGTACAACTTTTGACTGATAAGAAAAATGAAAAATTATAAAATCCTTAAAAATGGTGACATTTTTGGGAGTAGTTGGCTACAGCTCAAGTTCCGAATCTGGCAGCTTAAAACTCACACCGGGCGCGTGTGTATATATGCCCAAAATCCAGAGTGGAGACTGGAGAAGGGGTTGCAGTGTGGCCATCACCCCTACGGTGTGATTTCTTGCTTTCTCTGTTTCTCTAGCAAGCACACATGCCCTATAGCAAAAATCTCTCTTTAAAACAACAACAACAACAAAATCAATAATGAAACCCCTAAGTTAATGCTAAGGTTAAATCATCTATACAAATGGCTTAGTCTGTAGTCTGAATAGGGGAGTTTAAGATAGTTAGGTTCATATTTTTCTAAAAAGGAAGGAGCAAAAATGTTTAAGTAATGGGAATGCTTACTAAAATGTCTGCAATTAATTTCCTGTGTTTAATGCTTGTGTTTTCCATCCCACAACTGTTAGTCATTTTTGGTTATAAATTTGCAAAAATACAAATTACTAACAATACACAAACAACCCAAACTTCATTAAATGTTTCTGCCACAAACAAATTTTATGGTAAATACAAAATATTACCCACTTGACATCCATTATGAATTGACAACAAGTGAGTTAGTTTATTAAGGACTTCAAGGCAGCAGTCTCAGTGACCACCGTGTGAACATACTGAACTGGCTCCATCTTATAAGAACCAACACAACGTAGTCCCTTCTCTGCCTGGAGTAGTTTCACTAGTTTCCAGCAGGACTTTCTGTGTAAGTTAAACCATGCTTGTCTAAGACAACAATGCCTCAAGAGAGGGAAGATGACACCTTCCGCCCAGGGGCAGTCACACCTACCCCAATGAGGGTCTTCTGCCCAGTTTGCCCCAGGTTCAGCTTCTCGGCCATCCCCTCTGCTTCCCAGCTGCCAGTAGGAGAGCCACCACCCACAGCTGCCTGCATAGAAGAGTCTGTCTCCTGCCTTCTCCCATCTGTAAGTTACCATCGGATATGAAATGTCTGCTAAATCCTCAATGGAGTAACCTGCTTCAATTTCTGGTCTCAGAACCCCCTCGAACAACCACCCATCTTTATTTCCTCCCAATTACTACAACAAAACATGATCGTCAGTATTCATGAGACAAACAGCACTTTAATACAATGACCCAGTGAATCACTGAAACAAGTTGCGTGGCAAAGCTCCTGTTTGGTTCCCTTTTACCAGTTACTTCTCTTCCTTCCTAATTCCACCACTTCCTCAGAGCTCATGGCCTTCCACTCACAACCGAAATCTATTGCAGTGCCCTGACAGCGCTCCTGTCCATTTCCCCAAAGTCGTGTTATGCCTTAAACAGCAGTATGCAAAATAACAGCTGATATGTAAAGAACACTCCAAGCATTCTCCCAAATACCTTACTACATTCACTAATTTAACCTTTGCAATAGCCCTCTGAGGTAGGAACCACTATTTATACCCATTTTTTTGGGTGTGGAAACTGAGGAACAAAGATGAAATAACTTGTGGCAGATCTGGAATCCCCAGATCAACACTGACCTCTCCCATAACTTCCAAAGCAAACCTATATATTTGGTGCCATAAACCTCACTAAAAATCAACATTACAAATGAATTCCTTCAACCCATACTATCCTTCTTGACTCTTTCCTCCCTACGTCTGAGGGCTCACTCCTGACCCTCTGGGGCTTCTGGGCTGACCTGGTACCGAGTCCCGCCCTATCTTCCCCTGGTGCATGACCCATTCTTCTCCTCTGTCCTCTGTCCTTGTACTGTAATCGCACCATCTTCTAGTTGGTTTATCAAAACAGGGTTTTGGCCTCAGTTTGCCAGGCATCCATATCACCAACCAAACTGACCTGCACATCATCTGGATTGATCACATCACTTCCTTCATCAAAAAGCCTATAGCAGTTTCCACTGATAACTGAATCTCATCAGCTTATTTAACTTCTTACTTAAATGTTTTAGAACCAAACTCTATGTTCAGATAATGATTCTGAACCTTTTCGTTTCACGTTCTTCCTCAAGACTACTTGCTGTTTCTCAAAAGCACTGCATTTTCTGATTTCTGTGTCATTCCCGCCATCCTCTGTATCCATCAAAACCACACCTAATCACAAACGTCAAATCATCACATAGGCTCGTCTTCCTGGTTCTTCCATGAACAGAAGTGGGCTCGTCCTGCGAATTCTCCCAGCACAGTTTCAGTACAACTATGTATACATTGGGCCTTCCTTTCACATTCTCCACAGCATTCTGGATATCATTATAATCATCTTTGCAAGGACCATTATAGTCATCTTTGCATTCGCTTTGTCTCTCCATCACCACAGGTTAGCACACCACCTTGGGTGAATATATGTTTCTGAATGAAAACACTGAAGGACACTTATTAGTGAAGAGAAAGACAAACTTTTTCTTTTCTATTTTAAGAGGTGTTTTTTTTTTCCTTAGGACATGTATACTCACCAGAGAGAGTGGGAGAAAGAGAGAGAGAGAGAGAGAGAGAGAGAGAGAGAGAAAGAAAGTGCGGTATCACCCCCCCAGGGGGGATGGCCACGCTGCAATCCTTTCTCCTCCATTTTCCTTGTGGGATTTTGGGCACATACGGACACATGCCCAGTGTGAGTTTCAAGCCACTAGGTCTGGGGCTTGAATTGTGGTGGGCCATGTGGGAATCCAGTGATGTAAGTAACCTCAGTGCCATCTGCTGGCCCCGAGAAAGACAACCTTTTTATCCTCGTCCTAAGAGCACAATGCATTTTTTTCTTTTTTTGGAGAGATTTTCACTGTAGGGCGCGTGCGCTCGCCAGACAGACAGAGAGAGACATAGAGACAGAAAGCGAGAA